GTCTAATCAACCTCTCGTCTTTCAAGTTGTTCTTATTTATCGACCAAATCTACTGTCTTTCAAAAAGATTCGCCACAGTTGCCGTTGATGCGGAAAAAACTTGGAAATTTCAGCGGTTCAATAAACAGTAATTAACGAAGCCATGGGTGGAAAAGGGCTTACTGTAACATGACTGAGACTCGAGAAAGTGAAAGAGCTTGGGTCAGTTACATTTTCCCAGCAAACCTGATATTTTATTTAGAAACATGCTGCGACACTTTCCATGAGCATTTCCGTTCAGGTAAATATCGTGTCAAGCATTCGAATTATTCGTCGACAACGTACATTGATTGCACCTTCTAGAATTAGTACGAGTTATTTAATTGGCTAATGATATAAAATATCGATTACGTCAGGAACAAGCCTCTAGTCTAGGGAAGAGGGGGAACGAAGCAGGCTCGGACGTACCGTCGGAGGATCAGGCCAGGGACATATATATATATATATATATATATATTATGAGAGAGAAAAAGGGACGCAACTACATTTCCCGACAAGCCTGTTTTGCGTCCCTTTTTCCCTCTCATAATATTTATTCTGCTCTGCTTCAACGTATTGAGCACTGTTCCACGCGAAAATCGACTTGCAGACTTCCTATATATATATAGATATATACATATATATATATATATATATATATATATATCATAACATATGTGTAAGATTTCTGCTATCGGCAAATCAGTGAGCGGTTTACAACGTCTAATTTACTGACTGCTAAAGGCCTTTTAAATCGAAAATGATGACTTCCGCTCAGCTTGTCGAAACCTCCGTCAGTGATCATTCTCTCCAGAACTGCTTGAATAAAATACTTCTGCTATCACCGAAAACGGTTTTTCACCCTTACGCGCTCCACTCTTATAGTCACGTCTGATGTATAGTTTTTTTTCAGCTTCAAGACCTTGCTGTAACTCCTAACTTGCGAGATCCACGCTTGAATTTTGCAGAATCTGTCATAGAAGGGCACATTCAAGACATAAAGACTACTGATCGTTCTTACTTAAGGGTAGTTTTGTGGTTTTCTTTCCTGTGTCCCATGTTTTTAGGTCCATTTTTATATTTTTGGGTCTTACAATACTTAAAAGATGGCGCTCAAGGTACATCACTCTCATCGGGTAGCGATGGAAACCGTAGTTGGGTGGATTATATTTGTCGTAGAAACGAAGAACCCCTGATATGTTCAGTAACTCTATTTTTTTGTTTCCTGTTGCTCATAGAGGTCATATTTGTTTTAGCTAGAGTGTGGACATCCACCGAAATTTCAAAAAGAGGAAATATGTCGCGAGACTTTATTGTACTCCTTGCACTTATACCAGAATGGTTAGTGATATGCTATTGTAACTGCCTTTGTTGTGAAGATTTGGATATTAGTTCATTTTCAGCAGATTACTGCTTATTATGTGCACGAGCTTGGTTAGTTACCATTTGAGCTGGGTTGCAGTGGGTATCATGATTAATCCAGCTGGGGGCGTTTCTATTTTGCTGATACTTTCCTTTTTTGGCATTACCTTATTTTTTGTAATCAATGAAACAACCCACGCAAACGACTTCCGCCTTTCTACCCTTTTCGCATATACACCTGGCTTCCTTGGTCTCTGCTTTGTTGTCGTCCCTCCAGTAGTAGTTGGACAGTCATTTTATGGTCGGGAAACTGCAGATGATATTCTAAAAGCAGCGTTATTGTCTGTTATCGGTGCTGTCTCATGGCTGTACTTCAAATCCCGCAAAGCTTCTTCTGATACTTCACAGTTTGTTGAGGCTGCTAAAGAAGCAGCAGCTGCAGCGAGTGCTCTGGCCGAAAACATACCTGTACCTCAGCATGATGGGACTGAGGTTCATTCTGCAATTGTGGCAGCAGCTATAGCTACATCCTCTGCAGCTGGTGCAGCTGCGGCGGCGGCTGAAGCTGTGGCTGTTGCTTTGGCTGCAGCTAAGACTGAAAATTCAAAACCTAAAGCCGCGCAAGGTGGAAACGAAAATAGCACCCCAAATGGAAATGGATTAAGCGAGGAGACGCATCCCCTAAACGAAATCCAAAGTGCCTCCGGACGTTAAAGCACCGAGTCTCCATCGCTTTGAATCAATGTTGGTCTGTTTCCCCGCTTCTCCCTCCTTGCTCTTACCTTTCGTGCAGGCTCTCTAAAAAAAATTAATCCTCGCCTTCTTGCCTTGGTCTTAATAGTGGTGGTCTAACAGTTTATGTAAAAGTACCAAGCGTTCGCTTGTCAAAAATGCTCCTGCTTTATATTAAGGACAGATAATGATATTATGCAAGTGTTAGCTAGAGGTAAAATTCGCTCTTAGGGGCTTATGTTGCCTAATACGTGTTTGACTTCACTTTGCTTGCTTCTAGAGAGCTTTAGTTCTTATTTCTTAGTTAATAACATTATATCGATTTCCTGTGACGTCTTTGGTACTCACCCCATTGATTTAGACTTCATAGAAATAAAAGTATGCAAGCAAAGATAATTAATCATCTTGTTTAGCCATATATTTAAACCTCCACTATTCCCGGCTCTCATTGAATATGACAATCTAATTCATTCCTTTCTGAAATAATTTCACATCTCCCTTTGACGGTCAGCATTCTTCAACATCCCGCATTTTCCTCTGCCCTTAAAGTGACCTTACTGGAAAAGTTCGACTGTGTCTGCTATCAGTAGCGTATGAATAGATTAGGAGGAAAACTTTCTGTAACTATAGAACATACAGCATATCAGCTTGATGCATTTGGAATTTATCTCTCAATGCAATTGTTTAAACAACTATTCTTTTTTCCTCCTTTGTAATTAGTGCTATGATTCTCCGAGACTTGGACGTTTGTCATTAGGAATAAAATCTTACGTCAACATTGCAACAGTGTCAGTTTTATTAAGTCCCAAGCATCAAATGTTTTCATAGCATGATGATGTTACTGTAGTCTAAGTATGAAACTCACTTTAACTTTCATTGATTGTCTATGTATTTCAATGTTTTTATATAATAAATTATTTCCTTTATACTGCAGTTTTTACTTTAGTGTTAGGGAGGCATTTTATGGAAGGAAAAGTATCGATTAAACTACGAACATGCCGTTTTTCTCGGCATCTTACGGTAATGTTATGGATAGTTTTGTAATCTCGAAGTAAAAACCTCTAACCCGAAACTGTTCCTCTTCCTGCGGTGGCTTCGAGCTCCAAAAATAGGTTGAGGAGGAAAAGGTTTGCTTCCGAACTCCCCACTACGGATTGAGCGTTTAAATGCACATACGCATATCCCAGCTATTGATTCCAAGGTAACCATGAACTTTTTAAGGCCCTAACAAGGATTCAAGTCCACAGAATAATTTCTGTGCCCCGTTCGAACTAGGGGCTTCCCAGGGTTCATCCAAAATCAAAGGTCTCCACATTAAGTTATGAACCTTGTTTTTTCAGCGGGCATTTATAGCCCAAAGGCAATGCATGCAGACCATAAATCCGAGGGGTAAAAAACAAGGTTCTGTAACTTACAGTAGTGACCAAGAAA